GACGCAATACCAGTCCTCCTCTTCCCTCGTGACTCCTCCTCGGCAGCAGAAGGCAGGGAGAGTGGCTCCTCCTCTACCACCTTCAACCTGTCCCCTGCACCCTCCGGCACGCATCCAGAGCTCAATGAGCCCGCTCGGAGCGGCCCTCTCGGGCCGGCCTTACACCACAGGCCGGCAGTGTGGGTTCCTCTTAGCTTCGCCGTGGGTGACCAAGCCATGGCTACTAAGCTCCTTTTTGCATTTGTAGACATTTTTCTGATTTGTCGAACGGCATTCCAGTATCATAACTATGAACTATATAAATCTTTATATAAAATATATCTTTGTAAAACATAAATTTCGAAATCATGAAATGAAAAAGATCACTGTCATTCACACCGATGTATACGAGATTCTAATATTTTAACTATTTCTGAACTTGAATAGTTATATCACCTTAAAGGAACACAGCCGAAACAGCCGTAAAGCAAGTTAACTCTGTTCCATGCGACCATGTGTAAGGGACACATGGTCGCATGGAACAGAACGCTCGAGTAATGTCATACCCGGTATACAGTGTTGCTAGCGACAACAGATGGTTTAATGAAAAGTTAACAAAATTCAAAATCATATCCAATAAGCAATTTTGAAACGAGAATATTGGGGAGGTAACCAATCCTAACTTTCTAAAAAGTTAGACATTTCGATAACTTTGTTACAGGACTTTCATTGAAAGTTACTTTAATACAGACGTACTCATTAACCATCCCATCGGCCTAAGCAAGCTCCATTAAAATCAGACTTCGGATAGACTCTGCGCTAGACTTATTTACGGCACTAATGGGAATAATGGTGGCTTGTGGCGCCGTATTTTATTTATTTGTCATTTCCTCAACCAGTGAACTCTTTTGTGAGTCAGTAACGATCTATGTTGGTCGTCTAAGTTGGGAAAAGTTCGCGATTTTTCACTTTACTAGTTTTATTACTGCAAAAAGTTTGTCTTTATTGTTTAATTCAAATTAAAATATCATTATGCAATTATATATTTTTTAAATGTCATACTATGTCATATTTTAAATGTCATACATTTTATTGAACTTATATTTACAAGATTAAATATATCTAAATTTACATATTATCTAATAAACCTAATCCACGCGGCATGGTGCCAAGAACGCTTGCTGCATTTCCTCGCTGAATAGTTATGCTTAACCTTTGAGCGAGAAAAGAACCAGCTCTCTTGTCACCAGTCGCGGCTTTAAGCCTAGGACATAAACTTTTAAAAACTTTTGATGTGCGGGGACCCCACGGACCTAAAGATTCAACAGCAAATGGCACAAATACATAAATACTTGTGCGCCATTTACTTACTTCAGCCGCCTCCGATGCCGCCCTGGCCCTGACCGAAGTACCCCTTAGATAAGAGGCAACCAGTGTATATTGCAATAATATATAAATAAAAAAAAAAACGGCGAAAAGCGAGTTGGACTCGCGCACAAAGGGTTCCTTACCATTACTTCTCAGTTTATCAACATCGAGCCCAAATTACACGGTTTCCGTTTTCTACGGCAAAATTGTTTCATAAGCTTCCAGGAAACGGCGCGAGCTGAAAACGTTAATTTTATAGCCCCTGCCCGTAGCGCGCTTGAAGACGACATAAAACTTGAACATTCAATTCCACAGTTGCAATATGTGGATTAAACATTACGCGTAAATTGGTAATTAAAACTTCAACGGTTTTGTAATTGAGATTGTGTCGCGTTGAAATATTTATTAAAAACAGCCGAGAGCGAGTCGTACTCGCGCACGAAGGGTTCCGTACCATTATCTATAATAAAATATTTGGTAAGTACCTATAGGTTGCCTAGCAACCGCCTCGCGTTTGTCGTATGGAAGCCCCCTTAAATACCTTTTTTATTTTATTCTATTTTTTACTATTTGTTGTTAAAGCGGCATCACATATACATCATCTGTGAAAATTTCAGCTGTCTAACTATCACGGTTCATGAGACAGACGGACAGACAGATCAAGGAGTCTTAGTAATAGGGTCCCGTTTAAAGCTTTGTGTACGGAACCCGTAAAAGTGTATTTAACTTATGTTAATATCTAAAAATGTAATAGAACGAACGTAGAGTCAAGATATTCGCACCGTGGGGTCATTGGCCGCTTAGCTTAGTTGGTAAAGCATTCGAAACCCGAAGACGTGGGTTCAATTCCGCAGCGACGAAAGTTTTTGTTCATCTAATATATAAAATTCTCGTGTCACGGGGTTCGAACTTGAACTCCTCCGAAACGGCTCGACCGATTTTTGTGATCCTTAGCGTGATTGTCGGCCAGGGTGGAGAATCGGCCAACATCTACTTTTCATCCCCCTAAATGTTAAGGGTAGAGTCCACCCCTAAATTTTTTTTTTTATTTTTTAGGTAAAATTTTTTGTTTTTATTATTTTTATGACACAGCATACAAAAATACATACAACCCTAAATTTTCACCCCTCTACGCAGACGGAGTCGCGGGCAGCAGCTAGTTTAACTATAAAAACTTATAATTTAACTTATGGTATGTCAGTGGAATAATTTGTTACACTAAGATGTATTAGTAGACGTATAACTTAGTGCGAATAACTTGGATGTACTGTTAAACTGTGGTAGGGCCACGCAGCAGCCTCGGCTGTTGCACGAATGGGCATGCTCGTCCGGGTGAGTACCGCGGAAGTGGAAGTATAATACTTTCGAGTTTCGTCTGGTGAGTGAGGTAGCCGGAGCCTTATTTTCAAAAAGATTGTCAACGCATCTGCAACCCTCCACTGTAGCAGATGCGTTGACAATGTCCATGAGCGGCGGTATTCACTTTACATCAAGTGAACCGCCTGCCCGCTTAACAAGTTTTAACATAAAAAAACGCACACATTAAAGTTCTCCGTATATGTGGATAGCTGTTTGTCCGTGGAATTTCAATGCGGAGACAATAATATCAAATCTAGAAGCTTTTGTTGCTCGCACATTTCGTTTCCTATTACGAAACTTCAAACGTTTAAGGCTATTTTGCCTCACGGTTCGAAGCAAAAGGTAATCGGGCCGAATCTGCCGACCAAAAGGGCAAAGGCACGTAGCCCGGTATTGACGTTGGATCAAAGAAACGCGGAATGCCATTCTCCAAACTCAATACTTCTGTATAACGTGTTTCTAAAGCGGAAAGATTTTGGTATGGATGCTCTACGGTCGCATTCATCGTGCGTGTTATGTGTTTGAAAATTCAACCTGCGTTTGCACTTGAGGTATCGTTTATTGCTAGCTTTTATCTGCTGCTTCGCTTGCTTTGAAGCCCTTAAATAAATATATGTTTATTTTTTTTTAAATAAATTGAATTTTTAAATAAAATGACTCCGTGGCACAGTTGCCAATGTATTGGCTTCGGCGTCGGGGGTCGTGGGTTCGATTCCCACACGGGACAACTATCTGTGTGACCCACAGGTAGTTGTTTCGCATCTGAATGTTTGTCCGCGTGAAATTTATGTTTGTAAAACGTCCCTACAACACAGGATAACGTTATCCTAAAGTAAGGGCAATGTTTTTTAAAATAAAAAAATCCTTTGTTGTTTGTTTTTATACTTTCTAAGAATATGTGTACCAAAGTTTCATGACAATCGGTTGAGTAGTTTTGGCGTGAAAGCGTAACGAACAAACTCACATTCACAATGCCTCTATGAATAACGGTCTCGCCCGGAAAACGTTGTTTTGTTATATAAATTATTTCTAGGGTACAAAAGAAAATATGAGTCTATTCTCATACACACTGAATTTAATTATAAAAAGCGTTAAAACTGGTCAAGCCGTTTCGGAGGAGTAGAAACACTAAAATTGTGACACAATGATTTTATATATTAGATATAATATAATAGCAGGGATTCATCTGCCGTATTACTGGGTCTTACCAACACTATTACAATAATTAAATATTCGTCGAATATTTATTTTTTTATCTTTTATCTTTTAAGATAAAAGATAAACAAATAAATATCTGGTCTCTATCATCCAGATACAAAGTCTCTATCATCCAGATTTACCATGAACATTGTCCATCTATTATTTATTTATTGAAGCAATAAAAAAGGATAAGATCAAATTCTCATTTCCTTAAACCCCAAGAGGAAAGACAGAGTTAGAAGTTTTTACCCTACTGCTGAAGGAGGGCAATGTTTTTCATGCTTATATATGTATTTATGTTTGTATGCGTGTCTAATTCTTTAGCACGCTCTATAGCTCATAGCTCTTGGTTTTCTAAAGTAGTTCATAAAGTTCGAAGATTCATCTCCATTTATTGTGATCATCATCACAAATTTACTATTGATGTTACACAGCCTGCAAAATGAAATTTTTCGTAAATAAATTGCGGGTAACAACCAAAAAACAGACACTAATTACTTCGACATTAATTAGATCCTCTATAATTATCAAATCAATTGACATCGAAAATGGACGAATACAAAAAACGTTAAGCGGTCTTAATCCCATTATCGATTCGTGATGACAGTATCTTTTCGTCTCAAAATGCGTTATCTGGTTACGATTCGGTACTTACACGTGTGCGCAAGCTTAATTGAATTGCTCCGTTGAACTTACGGAAGCAACTAACACAGACACGTTAGGAAGAACAGAAAAGTTGCCAAACGAGCAGACGGTTCACCTGATGGTGAGTGAATACCGCCGCCCATGGATATCTGCTACACCCGAGGGTTACGGATGCGTTGACAACCTTTTGAAAATTGGGCTCCGGCTACCTCACTCACCAGACGAAACGCGAAAGTATTTGTCATACTTCCACATTACGCTGGTTTTCTGTGAGGTCGTGGTACTTACCCGGACGGGCCTGCCCATTCGTGCAACAGCTGAGGCTGTTGCGTGGCCCTACCACCGTAGGCGATATGTTCCCTCGCAATCGACAATAGATTTCGGACATCAATCGACTTCAAACGATGCCCATACGTGCCGCACTCTGAGTTGTGAGTGTAAACAAACGTATGCCCCAGTCGTCGACTTCCACAACGCATATGGTGATATAAAGAAAAACAAATGCTCTCGTTGGGATGCATCATATTTTTGGGTTCCGTACCCGAAGGGTAAAACGGGACCCTATTACTAAGACCGTCCATCTGTCATAAGGCTTGTATCTCATGAACCGTGATAGTTAGACAGTTGACATTTTCACAGATGACGTATTTCTGTTGCCGCTATAACAACAAATACTAAAAAACAGAATAAAAAATATTTAAGTGGAGCTCCCATACAACAGACATGATGTTTTATTGCAGTTTTTATATAATTAATGGTACAGAACCCTTTGTGCGTGAGTCCAACTCGCATTTGGACGGTTTTTTTGTAAGTGCAAGTGTTATTAATGGTTTTTGTTTGTTTTTTTTTTATTTAGAACTGGCCAGCACTTGTTCTCTGGTTCTTTTACGGGATTCCACCGCATTTATCTAAAGCTGTACGTACATTCATGGACATGTCATTTGCCTCGAAGACATTGGATTGCATCCCGATGGACAGACGTATCCTATATTTTGGCCACCTTCACGGGCGTGTCATGTATGGAGCCGTTTCTTTAAGTTTTTTTTATGTGAGAAGGTGGCTAGCAAGCTGGCCCACCTGATATTAAGTGATAAACGTCTTCCTTGGACATTTGCAACACCCCTAGATATCAGAGTATTGATATAATAAAAAGTGTGTGTGTGTGTGTGTACTTATGTACGCACGTAAGAATAATGTTTTAGTGTAACAAAATAAAAATAACTAAAAATTTTATCCCTTGTACCGGTACGCTTTGTTTGTGATAAATAAAACATTGAATGCAACTGATAAATACGCTTTAATTAATTAACTTGTAATCATAGGTAAATGTCAAAAAGTTTTTATTGACCGCCATGGACATAACTTGAAGTTTGTCGCTTAGCAACCGACTTCTTCATTTCGCATTTTGGTTGTAGTTTTGCGAGAGCATTGTAAAATTTTTACTCTAATATTTTTTCCAGTCGCGCCGAAAGAAGCATACCTATAAAAAATTACTAATTTTCCACATAATTGCACTTAAGAAAATAAATCAACCAGTTGAAGTAAGCTTAATTAACGTAACGTATCCTATTATTTGTTTAAACATTAAGTCAAACTCTCTAAAAACGGAAATATTTTCCAAACTGTGAATTCAATTTCAAAAAGCGATACATGTTTTCGTAATAATAGCGTATTGGCTATATTTGAATGTTGTCATTGCCTCATCGTGTTCTTGCATTACAGCTGAAACTTGGATTACAACTTAAAAAAAATATTATTCCGATTATTTTGCATGTTTTTACAACTGTGTATTAATTTACTGGACCCGATTAAAACAGGTTATTTCTATTTTTTTTCTATGAAAAGCTTTCTTTAAAAGCTCCTCGGAAGATCTCTTTAATTATTATATTTGTCTATCAATTAAAATATTTATAAACGAACACCACTATGTGTACGAAATAACCATTTTTCCTTTTTTTTTTTAAATTTTCATCAATTTATTTCAATTCAAAACCACTTTCACACATCACTAATGTGACAATAACAGATTCATTAAAAATATAGGTATAAATTAAAAATATATAGGTTTATGGATGCAAACCTTTAAACTGATAAATTGATTTAATTTTCAATCGCCGTTAATATATTAGTATCTTTATTTACATATTTTTGTAAATAGTTTCTGTTTTAATACATAATACCTAAGTATACAGTTTTAATGCAAGTCGTCTGTCAGTCATGTTTTATTGTCAGAATTTAAAGTTGCAGTGCGTAGACAGTAAAAACTTTCTGTAACTAGATTATTATATTTAAAATAAATTCACTTCTGGCACAAGTGTCTGTAAATTATTTACTTTATTTCTATTCACTCTACAAGTGCTTGCAAAAAAAAACAGAAAGTTATGAAACACGTACGTATGAATTGACTCTAAGAAATGAAATTCAAAGCTTGTTTACACCGGGCTCGTTAGCCCGCTACGGAAAAACTTCCATTGGCTCATACAATCTTAATACTCGGCCGTAGCACGTTACGAAGTTAGCCTGCCAAATTGAAAAGACGCTTCCGCACACACGCGCGATTAGTGGCGGCGCGTCGCTGAAACGGTCCGGGTTATACTACGGCAGACCGACGAAGGTGCGAACCTTTATTTTCTCAGTGCGCATCGGGCTTTCGGGAGGGGCGGTCGTTTCGTTCGACGGTTCCCCGAGTTTCGCCCGATCTGCGCCGCGAACTTTCGACGGCCGCGACAGTATGTACGTATGTGGGTAAGCGATGAAGTGTCATTCATTGTGACAATCATTTGTATCTCTTCGGGAACTGTTGAAAAGTGATCAGAGGATAGCTATGTAAGTTATTACTTGTAATAAGACTATCCAATGAAGATGTTTCGATATACGATGTATGTAATTAATGTGACACTGCCTTGTTATTAAACTAGGAGACTCACGCACCTGTTGACGTCTACTGAAGTGGCAATAATATCACATTAATGAATAATACATAATAGTACATACTGTAGGGCAAAAGGGGCTAAACTAATTATTAAGAAAAAATATTTTGAGAACGAAACTCTAACTTGTTAAGAATGAAATGATGGATTGATTAACAAAGCAACTTAACTTTGATCTCAAACTGTACACTTATTAAAAATTAAGTTTTTTAAAACGTTTCATTGTCATAATTAGATTTATTTCGGCTGCATTAGATGGTAGTTGAAAATTTCTTAACATAATTTCAATCAAATAAATATTATTTGATTGTCTCAAGAAGTTTTTTGTTTATTATAAAAGTTTTCAATTCATTCCTATTAAGGTTGTGTTTAATACTTGATTGCGCGGAGTAATATTTCTTAATTGCCGTTATAACTTGTCCTTTTAGTTCAATATACTCGAGCAACCTAAGTTCGATCCCCAGTGCCGGCTACGATGAAATCGTTAATTTTAAGTAATGACTTAATATCACGTGAACAGCGGTGAAGGGATACCTCGTGAGGAAACCTGCATATTTTCGAAATAAAAACGAAAATGTTAAGAGGGTATGTGAAGTTCGTCAATCCGCAGTGGGGACGCCTATTCCCCTAATACCCTCTGTACAGAGGAGGCCTTTGCCCAGCAGTGGGACACGTATAAAATTGATATATAAATAATGACACTTGCATCCCTGACGATTAAAAAGAGACAGTTAAAATTAGAAGATTTTAAATTTCCATCATTCTAATGGGAAAATATGTGTTAGAGATTGGTATATCAATACAGAGTGGGGAAAATATACGTCGCTATTTTCGTAAAATTTCCAGCTGTTATGCTTGAAATTGGAAAAAAAAAAGAGAAATCAAGTAAATCTGAAAAGAAATTAGGGAAATTTCAAGAACAACACAAACATTTTAACAGATAATTACGTTATCCGTTACAGCTTTTAATAATCTATATATAAAATATAATCAAAGTAGCCTTTAAGGGAAAATCTTAATTTAATATGTAGATCGAGAGTAGAGACTTCGTCAAACTTAGTTGTTATTTTATGTAACTCTAATATGCTCGTTAATATAATAAGTAACCTTTACTCTTCACTACATATTATAAAACAGAGTAGTACCGCTGTCTGTCTGTCACTCTATATGCTTAGTTCTTAATAAGTATGCAAATTTTTTATGCATTTTTTTATAGACAGAGTGGTTTAAGAGGAAGATTCATACGTATAACTCATGTGTAATATAGTAGAGAAACACTGATAATTTTAGAGGTTTCTAATACGCTGTCGAAAACAAACATTCAGCATTACACCCGTGCGAAGCCGGGGCGGGTCGCTAGTATATTATAGTTTATATTTAGTCCTCGCATTAAGCACGAACATGATTTCTTATAATTATCTCTTAATTTTAAAGACAGACATTTCGTGCGGAACCCTGCAAATTTGAAAAAATATTTATTTTACGCTGCGGGTCGGTAATAATGTAGCAGTACGTTAATTTAAGAACATTTTTTGCGGTTCCCGTGGTGTGGAAATTTTACGGGTACACGCGTAAAACCGTTTATGTGGTTTAAAAGGTTTACGATAGAAGGTGGAGTCGCTTCTTGTCCGTTGGAAAGGAACATTACATGAAACTGTCGAACTTAAACCATCTTGGCTTTTAAAATATCTTGAAGTTAATGATTTTTGACACTTCTTTATGGGGCTTTTAAGAGATCGTGCAGGCAATGGTTTTTGACACTTCTTTATTAAGCTTCCCACGTGTGTGATCATGTGTCATATACGCATATTTAAGTGTTTTATTTTATCTTAAACAAAAAGGTTTAATATCAGGTCACAAACCCATAAGTTATATATAATTTTGTTGTGAATTTAAATGTATATTCGAAAATATATGTGTGTATATAAATGTTATACAATAATAATATTTTTCATTTATATAAAAAACAATATATATATAGTTGTAGAATACATAAAGATGTATTTGGAATGGAATTTATTTACTTAATTTATTTATACTTTATGCACACAAAATATGTAGAGTCAACCTTTGAGTGGTCCTGAAAAGTTTAAGTAGGTACATTTTATTAGTGGTTTAAAAAGGCGAAAGATTTATACGTTTTGAAGGGAAACCAGAGTTTATTAGTGGTTTAATTTCCACTACATTTAAGAATAACGTAAGAATCGATAATAACCTTGGAAAGAAACTAACAACCTATCCAGAATTTGCTATTAATAATGAATTGGAGCTAATAATTTTATTGTAGGAATAAAATTACCTCTTATTTTTCATTTCTACCTGAATATTTACTAGTAATGTGTATGTCTTCTAATAAAAGGTAATACTATGAATTAAGACAAAACATATCACCAAGGCTCTCAATTGATTTCGTTATTTTAATTTAAAAATATACGAATTTAATATTATTTCATTGTGCTTTTATTTATTTTACAATTTATTGTTTCCAGTGGCGTTGTGTTAGTACACAATACAAGTTTATTGCTTTGGTACTATTGTATAAAACAATAACAAATGCAATGAACCATATGCATCTGTTATTGTTTTATTTTGTGTTACTATGTTGAGAAGTATTGAAATATAATATATAAAATAAAAAATATTATACGTATGTGGAAAAATGTTGTATACCTCTGAGGATTCTATTAAATATTTAACACATTTATAGAACTCGAATACAATCCTGTTTGTTAACTATATGGAATTAACTAGCGTAAAGTTTTTTAATATTTTATTTTAGCCAGTTAAATCACTTGATTCAATACGTAACATGAGGTGTTTTTAGGGTTCCGTACCCAAAGGGTAAAACGGGACCCTAATACTAAGACTCCGCTGCTATCTGTCTGTCTGTCCATCTGTCACAAGGCTGTATCTCATGAGCCGTGATAGTTAGACAGCTGAAATTTTCACAGATGATGTATTTCTTTTGCCGCTATAACAACAAATACTAAAAACGAAATAAAAAATATTTAAAATGGGGCTCCGATACAACGGACATGATTTTTTGGCTAATGGTACGGAACCCTTCGTGCGCGAGTCCGAAACTTGGCCGGTTTTTTAAAAAAAACTTCTTTCTCTTTTTTCTTTTTTCTCTTTTTTTAAAAAAAAAAACATTGCCCTCATTTTAGGATAACACCATCCTGTGTTGTAAGGACGTTTTACAAACATAAATTACACGAGGACAAACACCCAGATGCGAAACAACTATCTGTGGGTCGCACAAATAGTTGTCCCGTGTGGGAATCCAACCCACGACCGCCGACGCCGAAGCCAATAACTTGGCAACTGCGCCACGCAAAACATATTTTTAAGTTGAGTTTTGGGAAGATCTAAGTTCGCTATTATGAAGGGAATTATATTCCCATCGGCCTCTAACAAAGCACATACCTACAATGAAACATCCTCATTAATAAACCATGTTTAAGTATCGAGAAACCGTGCATCGGAAAAGATTATGTACCAAACATGTAAAGCTTACACTATACCTTTCAACAAGAACTATTTTCTGAATCTGTTTCACTTTATCGCCATGTACTTGCATATACATCCTTCTAGAATTGCATGTCTACAAAAGTGATTTTTCCTCCACTAAACATAAAAATGTAATGTAGAACTAAAATGCAGCAGCGGTTTTAAGAACGTCCATTTTAAAACGCGGAACAATAAAAGTCACTTTGAAATGACTAACAGCCATTATTACCCTTCACATAAAAGACGCAACGTTCAATGCAATATCGATATTCCCAGCTAAACCTTTCAACAATTGCCATCGAGGAGTATAAGTCATTATGTACAATGAATTTAGACATAGTCCGGGTTCAAATGCGGAATCCTGAGAATTACGAGGGGCGGTCAAAAAGTATTTTTCTATTTTATCCTAAATTTATTTCCTATCAACCTCACAAAAAAATCGGAAAAAAACATTTTGTCGAGGCCTTCAAATTAGCCCGAAGTCGTCGACTTAACAACTTTCGTTGGTAAACTTTTTTGTCCTCGAAGTTCTTAACTATTTTCGGGAACAAATAATAATCTAATGGGGCCATATCTGGACTAACTAACTCTGCATTGACTCCTGCTTTATTGTAGACTCCAGTAACAGTTGCTTTTGAAGTGATATGAGAATTCTCGGCAGTCATCTCGATGGCCTTTTACATGCCAAGATGATCACGGAGAATGCTCAAAACGGTACCAGACGATATTCCAACCATTTCAGTTAATTGCTACTTCTTAGAACGAGTATCTTTAAGAATAAATTTTTCCTCTTTAAAAAAAAATATATCTTTATTCACATAGACGCTTGCACGTTCTTATGAAACGTCTTACAAGGAAATTAATACATTCGTAAGTTATCACTGGTTCGGAAAGCAGTTTCTGTTGAGAAGAAACCGGAAAGAAACTCAACAGTTGCTCTTTTTAAAAGGTCAGTTTAGAATATAATGTTACAGGTAGAACAGTCTTGTCTTAGCCTACGTGAGTATCAACAGTAATAACCCCACACATTGGCGTCCTCAAGATATTCACCAATAGTATAATAATGCTTTAGCCATAAGTTTACCTTTAATTTTTTTCGTTTAAATTCATCAAGTGGCAGACTTAATATCGACTGTGGGATTTTTATATATATGCGCACAGTTTGCCCCATGAACGACCTGTTTACTTTTTGTAGGCGAAACAATGGGAACACACTTTTTCGACAATATCCGAGGATGTGGCTTCGGCCTACCTGAGTGGTCATCGTCTTCAGTTGACTCTCTGCTTTGCTTGAATCTGTGCCATTGGAAAATCATGGTTTTCTCTTCTTCTTTTAGCGAGGAACTTTATGACAGAGCTGAAGTCAATTTTCTTTACAGTTCACATTTTCTTCACTATTGACTTGTCGATCTGGCAATAACTCGTACGAGAGAGTCTCGTGCGGGATACGCAAAAGGGCTTAAGGTCCGATTTGCGCTCTTAGGTTCCAACCTGTAGATACAAAGCGGTCCGCGTTTACATTTACTGCTAAAAGTCGTTTATAATAAGAGGCCTCGTTGCGTTAGACCGAAATACGCATTTAGGCAACCCCGTTCGGTAATGGTGATGCTTTAGATCCGGACATTCGATAAAGCCAACCTTATTTCCACGTGGCTAATAATCTCGCCTTGGAATCTGGCCCAAATTGAAATATTATTGCCCCGTGTTTATCCCATTAGGGCGAAAGAGACAAATTTTAATTTAGAGTCATTAATTATCTGATAAAACATTTCGAGACTTGCATTGCGCTTGTTTCTACATTTTAATGAAACAGTTGTATTAAATATTAATTAAATGGAGGAATTAATGTAAACAATAGAGACATTAATTGCTTTTAGAGAGGTAAAATCGAAAATTATAATTGTAGCTCAATGTTTCAAAGGCCGGCGATGCTCCCCTTTGATGTCACTGATGTCTCCATAAACGAGTTAGGCCGTCTCTCACACGCGCTGTGCAAATTGTTTTTGTTTTGTAGATAGTAAAAGGTTTTATAAAATGATAGACATTTTTTCTATGGCACTGCCATACGTGTTGGGAAGAATGTAAATAGTAAAATGGATCTAGATGTGGCAGGGCCACGCGCCAGCTAATGCACGAATGGGCAGGGTCGCCCGGGGAAGTATCAAGACCTCACAGAAAAAGTGAGGAGGAAGTATGCTTTCGCGCCTATTGTTTGGAGTGCGGTAATGAGTCAGGTGTTGTAATGTCCATGGGTGGCGGTTAACACTTAACATCAGGTGAACCGCCGGCTCGCTTGCCAACTTGTCACGTAAAAAAATAAAGACTAAACTTCGCAAATGTTATTAAATAAACGTTTTAATTCGTGCGTAGGTATAATGGGCGTTTTTTATGTTGTATCTATTGGGATCCCATAATACAAACAGACGGGATACAAAAAATAGGTACGTTATAATTTTCTGCACACATTTTCGCAAAAAAACGAGCGTTTTAATGGATAATATCGAAATACTGTTTAGTCTACTTAAACACCTGTTTCAAAAGTGTATGTCTGTCCATAATTCAGCGAATAGTGATGTTTTTAACACGCAATATTCGCTCCGCCTGCGTCGCAATGTTGACGCATATATATTTCTGTCATTAAAGCCACAATGTTCAATTAATTTTAGGTATCAACGCTATGCAGGTGGTACTCGTATATTTAAAGGGATTATTCTGTTAATGCGTTTAATATTTCATGAGCTATTTCCAAATAAATGTTACTCAAAGTTTCGCAACGTCGCGATAATATTGATATATTTAGAGATTACATTTTTATAAGTTAGTTTATCTATTGAGGTTTACCAGCAGTTGTTACACCCATACAATTTATATTAACAATACACAGACAGACGGACAGCGGAGTCTTAGTAAAAGGGTCCCATTTTACCCTTCGGGTACGTAACCATAATTATATAAAAGCTTACAAGTTAAACTCCATCTCATTTTATATACAGAAACATCTTCTCATTTGTACATAATATATAAAACCTTAATGTGTAAAAATATGTCCGTTGATGAAGGTCGTTAAGCAATAAGGTCTTGATCTTCCTTTTTAGGAAAGGTAAAGCGAGCGACCGATTCACCTGATGTTATGTGATAACCGGCAACATCTTCCTCGTTGATCCTGCCCATTAATGCAACAGCAAAAGCTGCTGCATGGCTTTACCATAGATAATAGAGTCATCCGGTAAAATATTGCTGTTAAACACACACAATGTTTGCTATTCTCGTACTGGTTGGCCAGAAAAACATTGTTTACTTTTTCTGCTTTTGTTTTACGTTATAAATTATTATGGAGCGTTTTTCGAACACTAGTACTTGTGTAGATTCAGTATAGTACTAACAATTTTTTCTTCCTGGTAGGAATCTAACGCTTAGTTATTGAGTCAATCGAGCTTTTTAAGGTACCAGCGAATGAGCTATAAAAACGAAGATGCCCGTAGGGTGCTAATCTCTCCTGGGTCAGATCATGACAATCGGCCGCTCGCCAATTTCCCCAAAATCTTTGTACCCCAACGACCAACGCCCCCATCGACGTATTCGGTACAATGCAAATACAGACACACTGTCGGTCAGTGATATGGAGCATTAACATACATTTGCCTGGATGTTTGCACGCGCGTTAATCGACCCGAATGGTCGGAGTGCGAACCGTCCCCGGAAATTTCCACCCTTATCGTGCGTATTTTTTATTTTAACGTACGACGATATTACGCGATACCCTCGGAGCTATATGTTCATACGTGTACGTGTTATACGCCGTCGATAATTCACGTATAACGTAGAGATTAACGTTCTACACTTTTGGTATAAAATGAGGGTTCAAAACAATTATATATTCGTATTTTGAAAAAGCGGCCAAGTGATAGGCGGGCTCGCGTACGGGTTCCGTCCTGTTGTCTATAAAAATGGCAAAAAAATCATGACTGTTGTATGGGAGCCCCCAATTAAATGTTTTTTTTTTCTGTTTGTCAGCTTTTTAGTATTTGTTGTTACAGCGGCAATAAAAATACGTCATCAGTGAAAATTTCAACTTTCTAACTATCACGGTTCATGAGATACAGTTTGTTTACAGACGGACAGACAGACAGACAGATAGCGGAGACTCAATAACAGGGCCCCGTTTTACCTTTGGGTACGGAACACTAAAAATAATGAGAGGTGATTGATTTTTAGATAATTCAAGAGGCAGGCTCTTTCGGGGAAAGACGGTCTTACCGGCGCGGCGTGACGTTGAATTATTATACTCATGTGTCTCATCTTCTGAGTGAGATATCTGAGGTGTATTTTAAAAGATTTTTTTTTGTTCTTTAAAACGTTGCCCTTACTTTAGGATAACATTACCCTGTGTTCTAAGGACGTTTTGCAAACATAAACTTCACGCGTACAAACACCCAGATGCGAAACAACTGTCTGTGGGTCACACAAATAGTTGTCCCGTGTGGGAATGACACAACCCCCGACGCTGAAGCCAATACCTTGGCCACTGCGCCACGGAGTCATCTAAAGTTGCCAACACATCGTCACTTGATACTTGTAATTGTCTCATTTACTAATTTGTCACATTGTTATATAAATAAATAATACCTGGAGGTGTTTTTTTTTTGGTAAATCGTGTATTTTGGAAATTACTTAATTAATTCATGTTATTCATTACTGAGTAATGAAATATGTATAATATTTTTCGATCTTAGCGACGTATTATTAAGAAAATATGAACTGGTGTTTTTCACAAAAGAAACAACTTAAAAGAAAAGGGAAACAAGGACAAAATCATCTGGATGGACAAAATTAAAAAATAAAGGAAGCAATGATCGAAAAGTAAAAAAAATACGTATGTAAATGATCGTGACACGAACCACGGCCTTCGGTTTCGGGGCTCACCCGATTACCGACCGAGCTATTATAAAATTTTTTTTCGGTGAAATTTACCGTCATGTTCGAATGATATTGGTATATTTTTCAATTCTACTCTTTGCTATCTTTATTAATATAATCTCTCACAATATTACTTCTCTCTACCATATGTATGCAGACGATTTTCAACTGTACACATATTCAAGTCTTGAGACTTGCCCACTGCTGTTACTGCCATTAATGGTGACCTGGCGGCTAAGAGCTATGGTTTTAAGATTAATCCTCGCAAGTCCTAGGCCATCATTGTTGGCGGAGCTGACATGATTTCAAGGGTAGATTGGTATAACCTTCCGATTATATATATATATATATATATATATATATAATCGGAATCTCGGAAGCCCAAGATCTTACCTTATTTAATTATTGGTATTTGATCTGCAACCACAGTAACGTCTGCAACTTCATTAGTTGAGCCTGCAGAATGAATGCAAGAATGACTTACCATATAACATATATAACTTTCTACTATAAAATATATGTTAAAACATAATTTTCATCTTTTCAGGTAATTCAATAAGGATCGGTTGAGTTAATTATCCCAGTGTTAGTTTCAAAATACTAAAATATTCACGTAATGACGATGAATCAGTAAACTTTCAAGATGGCGGACGTGTCTGGCGGGAAAATTGCTTGGAGTGTGCTATTGCTCGCAGTTGTTTTGGACAATGGCTTTTGTCATCTTGAAGAAAGTGAGGATCTGGGTGAGTTTTTGTTACATTAACTTCCATTTTAACCCAATTGTCTGAATATTTCAATGAAAATGTCCAATAAAAGTCTCACAATTTTTTTAGAAGTTGAAATAATTTTAATCAGAAGATAACAGATTACGACAAAAAAAAAGTGGTTTTCGTTGATGAAAGTATCTTTCTATTTTATAAACTGGTTGATAAATATTTTGCACAGATTAAATAAGAGACGAGTAATAATTTCTCGCGCGTCGGAAACTCATAAATCGTAATTAACAATTTTCCAATATCACGGAATACAAGTCGAAAAATTGAAAACATGTGAAAAACGTATCGAACAAAATGGCTACAAAATGGGAATTTTCTGTTCTACACATTTTGGTTCTAACGATTTTGAATTCATGAGGGACGAAGAATCTTTTATAAGTTTCAGCTAATAGTGGCCGGGCGCGGTTGTAGTCGTAAATAAAAAATATGGCAAAACCTGATATTAAATATAGGCGAGGGATGATACGTTTATTGAAACAGTAATGATATCGATACAATTTTATTTGTAGACTTTTTTTATGATTAGTGATACATTTGTATTGAGCGCTCAGATTATTTACTTCAGGAAATCATTTTGTTAACTTGTAACACTTTCTGAGTTAAAAAAAATGATAAGCTGTTAGAATATGAACTAGTCATTGTATAGCAAATAAACGTAGAATAACGGACTACAAATAAAAAATAAATATTACGTGTTATACAGATTACTAAAAGTCGTTTTAGACATAGCTGTAACTGTGGTAGGGCCACGTAACAGTGTTCGCTGTTGCAACAATGGGCAAGTCCATCCGGGTAAGTAACACGACCTCACAGAAGACGTATGCGTTTCGTCTGGTGAGTGAGGTAGCCGGGGCCCACTGTATTTAAAGGTTGCAACGCATTATCAACCCAACGGGAATTGCAAATGTTCATGGGCAGCGGTTATTACTTAACATGAGGTGAACCGCCAGCTCGTTTACCACTTTCTGACATAAAAAAGCTATATTTTAACAATGCATTACGATTTTTTTGGAGCTTTGCAGATACTAGCACTAAAGTATAAAATTAATTATGAATATCTCTTAATAGTTTCAAATACTTCGCGAGAAACTGAAATCAACTGAGCCAACATAATTTAAACAGCAGGGTCAAAGTAATCCCAATTGAGATGGCTTATTATGACGTTGAACAATACATTGAGGGCTAAATGGCGTGGAAACTCTTACTGTGGAATTCTACGTCTCCTGACTTTTGTTAAAATATACTGCCGGACTACAACCTTCTACGAACAGAATGTATAAGAAAGGAATCTTTCACGTACACGCGTATTGAACTACGGATAATTTAAACCTAAATTCAATATAAAATCAGAATAGGATGTCGAATTAAAGTCATACAACAATAACACTTCCTGTCGACATTTTTAGGGTTCCGCACCAAAAGGGTAAAACGGAACCCTAGTACTATAACTCCGCTGTCTGTTTGTCTCTCTGTCAGCAGGCTGTATCTCATGAACCGTGATAGTTAGACAGTTGACAGTTGAAATTTTCACACATGATGTACTTCTGTCGCCGCTATAACAACAGACACTAAAAAAAAATCTAATATTCAAGTGGGCTCCCGTACACCAAACGCCAGGCGATTGCTAGGCAGCCTATAGGTACTTACCAATTAACGAATTAATGGTACGAAACCCTTCGTACGCGTATCCGTCTCGCACTTGGCCGTTTTTTATTAATTTGTATTACTGGCGCAGAGCCGTTTTCCTAGCCGAATTATATTTGGAAACGCGGTTACGGCGATAATAAAAGTTGTAGAGTTTTTATCGTCGGGGGCAAATTGGAAAAGCAGATGTTTGGGTAAGCGTTCATTTAACGCTGTAACTTGTTTATAGCCTTCGTTTGAATTGAAAATAATTAAGACCGAACGAAATTGTTTCGTCCGCCCGGAATTGAAGACGCCACGGAACTATTTACACTTATCTTAGTTGCTATTAATTTAATCCGTACCTATCTTTCACTTCACTCACATAATTAGTACATAATTTTAAGGTATGTTAATTGCGGTTAAATTGTAAAAAAGAAATATGCGTGTACATATGCATGCCAGAAGTTATACTAATTTAGCATAACAAAAGCAAAATAACTAAAAAATTAATCCTCTCTACCACTGCTATTTGTTTATGAAAAGGGCTTAAATGCAGTTGATAACGCTTTCCATACGTGAGGGATAGATGCAGGTGGCTTAGGATCGTACTACGTGACAGTCTATAGGGGAGGCATTCTTCTTTTTTTTTGGTATCGGTGGGGGGGGGGGGGTCTTTAAAAGCTGTCACCTTACATGACAGGTTAATGTGGTTTTCTTATCCACTAAAACCCCCCTCGGTGGCCACCCTCTGTACATTTTTAGGGACTCCGGGATCTCACACACACAGGCAGGGAATACCTTAGTCCTATTCTATAAGCCCACGACTACAGGGCTGATATAGGGGAGGCCTATGTTCAGCAGCGGGCTCTAACAGGCTGAAATGATGATGATGATAACACTTTCATTAAATAACTTGGAATTATAAGAGTTCAAACGTTTTTACCTTAATCCTAATATTTTAACTATTATTGAACTTGAATATTAATAACTGTTATAACTACAAGCAGCACGGTCTGCTTTAAAGGTGGCCTTTAAATACCGCAGCTACCTTACTCACCACACGAAACGCAGAAGCATAACACTTCAACTTTACGCCGGTGTTCCGTGAGGTCGTGGTACTAACCCGGACGGACGTGCCCATTCGTGCAACAGCGATCGCTGTTGCGTGGCTCTACCACAGAAAGATGTTTTCTGTTTTTGTATTTTAATTTACAGCGATTATATTTGTATGTATAGTATGACTATCATTTCTGCCCTTTTGTTTACAAACACTATCTTCTACAATGTTTTCACAGCACATTTTTTATGTGGTAATAATTGCCATGAAATTGACTTACTTACTATAAAAATGGTTTTTTTTTATAATTTCAGTAGTAATTTTCCCGTGAACAATTCAATTTTAATTAAAAAAAAGCTGAATAAACTTAAACATTCCACTGTAAAAGTACTGTAACCCCTGCTTTGTGTTAATTAAAAAAATCAAGTGAATACAAAGTACCGAGTTGAACGTACTCACATTAAAAACATTCTTGTTTAAGTTTAAAACCTTCCGAGAATGCAAGATCAGCTTCGTGTACCAATTTACACGGTTCATTGTGAATAACGTTTTTTTTGGCACAATAAACATCGGTTTTTATTTTTGCCTCCGTTCTCACCACTCCGTTCCTGCGTTTTATATTCCCTAAATTTGAAATGCAAATGCCCGGACGTGACTTATAGGTATGTTAAGCATTTAATAATAAGGACTGTTTGCAACGAATTTTTATTTTTATTTTCAGGAACTACGTTAGATATGATTAGATTAGTCACGATTCCCGCGCATTTAGGATCACCTTTAATTAATGTCACTATCATCTACTTTTACAAAATTTGTTACATTTTGTTATGATTTTCTATCTATGTCCTTTTTCTTAATCTTTATCGAAGTGCAACACATTGTCTTTTGATCTTTTAGTTCAAACAAAAATCTCAAAGTATAATTTCGTATAAACGTTAAAATATTTTAGTCTTAATCGATTTACCTTTTCTCGTCGTATCTTAGTATAATGAGCGAAAAAATAGTTTTGGAATTTTGGAAACTCGTCCACTTAAACTAATATTTTAATTATTCTTAATTTACGTGTTCTGCCTACTCCGCCTACTTGAAATAAATGCAGGAGAAAGAAGCAGTTTCTACTAGAGGTACGTAGTTAAACGCACGCATGAGCACATGCGCGGCCCTACCAACCTCAGCTGTTGCCCAAACCCGTGGGTTCTGGCTAGCCCACCGGTTCTGCGTCAGATGAAGCTTTAATAGTCTCGGGACTGAAAGCAAAAACATCAGTTAATACAAGATACAAGTCTACTAGAGGTTTAAACGCCTCTTTTTTTAAAAACCAAGTGTGAGTTACACTCGCGCTCGAAGGGTTCCGTATCATTTATCTATAAAAATGGCAAAAAAATCATGTCTGTTGTATGAGAGCCCCACTTAAATATATCTTATTCCGTTTTGTATGGTACAAAACGGAATAAGATATATCTGTTGTTATAGCGGCAACAGAAATACAAAATTTCAACTGTTTAACTATCACGGTTTATGATATACAGCCTGCTGACAGACGAAAAGACAGACAGACAGCGGAGTCTTAGTAATAAGGTCCCGTTTTACGCTTTGGATACGAAACCCTAAAAATGTTCTTATAAAATGGAGTGTACATTATACAAACATGAAAATAGCTAGATTTTATATACTTAAAATTAACTGTTCATGAAACTCATTACTTTTTGTGAAATGAACATGAGAATTCGAGCGAGACTCAATCCTTAGGGTTAACCATTTTCAGCGTGATTTTAATAATGGTTTCACAACAGACCAACCGTTTAGCTGGAAGATTTTTAAGCGCATTTATATGCTCTAAAGAGATCCTTTATTTGAGAAATTTCTTTTCAATGTGTCATTTGTAAATGAACGTAATTAATTGTTATCATTACTATTATTGCTTTGTATTGTTATTTTTTTTTCTTCTCATCTAGTAAATAAAAATATTAATATTTGTATATATATATATTTAGGCTGCATTTGAAAATCAGCGCTGTAGTACAAATAGAACTGCAGCATTTTGCTGAAATGGAATTCCTATTTGATGTCACAATTTTTCTGTTTATGT